CGCGCCGCCGCCACCGAGCCCGGCTCCATGCTCAGGAAGCGCGCCACGTGCCGGGCACCTGACCGCACATTAACACTCAACAAACAATCTAAAGAAAATACAATTTAATGGCACACAACTAACCTGTCTCATAATCATGTGCTTTAATAGCAGCCTCTACACCCGCACTGCACAGCTGCAGGTCGATGAGGTCGTGCACCCTCCTCTGACACTCGGCCACTCGGGACTGTATAATTTACATTGTTCTTGACTTCATCTTGTGAACACATATTCGACAACTTGCCAATTTAGATGATCATTTTACAATATCAAAGCATAATAAAGAGATAGGAAAAGGAAATATTCTCTTTCTGACCTTCCTCTCATCTGTTGATTAACAAATACAATTGCAGATGTCAATCAGTCAGACATCAGTCTCTTTAGCAAATTGGTAGTTCATTTATTACTTTATGATACAAAAAATGCAACATAAATACTAACTCTGGCAAGATCCAACTGTCGCACTTTAGCGCTAACATCCCGCGCCAACGCAGCGGTCTTCTCCACCATGTCGGCAGCTGTTTGGGCGTCATTCTTCACTTCACCAAGCTTGGTGTATGCCTGACTGGCAGTACGTAACCTGCCCTCCAGAGTACACGAACGGGAAAGTGCATTGGATAAGGCTTCATTGACTTCTGCCTGTTAATATATATGGAGATTAAACTACATACAATGTACTTTTTACATCTCAGAATTAGCACGAGTGTTATAAACGCAATAAATATAGCAGAAAAATAATTACAAACAGTTTGTAAAACATCGTGATTCTATGCAACGTCACTTCTTGGTTTTCGTAATTTGAACATACATTTTACCGGTTTAAATAAGACACAAGGTGAGATACCTCTTCTTTCTCAATTTCATTTAAAGCTTTTTGAAGACCTTCCTCGCTGGATACGTCGTATTTTTCTAATAAGAGCGATAGCGACATTTTTCATTTGAACACAACTATTTTGTTATTCTTATCAATTTCACCTGCATTTGAGCATTTAATTTGATATGACATTTAACGTGACTGTCAAAGTGACATGGTTTGTCTTGCCAGTTTTATTTTGGCCAATGAAACAATTTTGTGCTGATTTCCATTTAATAAAGAAATAATATTCTTGGACGAGAGCAAAGAAAAAAATCTTTTTGAAGTTAAAACTGTAAGCAGCTGTAAAAGTTAGATTTTACCTTTGCTAAAGCTTGCTAAAGCTACTGTTATTGATTTGAACATTTTTATTCAACTCTTTAAACCATCTTAAAGTTGAATATTGCAACACGGCCACTTGACATTTCACCTCAAAGTTCGTTCAGAATCTTAATTCAATTTCTGTTTTATTTAATTAAATAAACATTTTGATCAAATATAACACAAAACTTTTGCGATTCAAAAGATTTTTCAAGTGTACCTTGTTATTTATTAAAGTTTGTTTTATAAAAATATGAATGTTTAAAACGTCATTTCGTCATCTAAAGTTCTGAATGTTACTAATAAAAAGTAGTGAAGTATGATGTCTAAACCTGTGTAACAGTAAACATAAAATTTTTGTTGATTAAATAAATCGATGTGTGTTTAACAAATAAACGTTTGACCTCAGGGCGCCAAATAATAATTTTGCGTTCCTTTGGGGACACTTCCTGTCGTTTTGTACATATTAATTCTCAAAGGTAAGAGAGGGCAGGGTACAGTGACATTAGCATACATACATTATCGAATGTAAGAAACATTGAACATTACCTCGAAATGTGTGACCTCCTATCTATCATTTCAACATTCCTCTTACATTTTTGTTCTAATCTCACTAGAGGCAATTGTTACTTTAGTGATTTGTGTATAGTGTTTATATCATGTTGTTGATGGAAAATGCTTGGCCGTAGATTGACTCCGTGTGGGGTTGGGCTTCGCCCCCGCTGCGGTTGCAGCTGGGTAACTCGCGTGGGCACAAGAGGTAGGAAAATTTGTAGTTTGCGGACACAAGTTAGACTTGGTTGCAACTCTTGTGCAACTGTTTGAGCAATAGTTATATCATATGACTTTCATATTTATTTACAGCAATATGAACTAATTAATTTAAAACATACAGATTCTGTCAACATACAGCACCAAAAGGCCTAACATAAACATCCATCACATGCCACCACCAGTCTTTAACATATTTAAAGTTGATTACAGAACCATAGTTACAATTTGTAATCAGAAAGTAATAAGTATTAAGTCAAAGAAAACATTGAGAATTCAAAAAAAATATTTCCAAGAACATACCAGGTTTTGTTCTACAGGTTCAGAGACAAATGTGGAATTCTTTAGAAGCTTCTTTATAAGCTTTAGTTCATTAAAGTAGTAACAAATGTTTAACGATATATGATTCTTTGTGGCTTTGTTATAAGGATGAAAATGGTTTGGCAAATAAACTTCATAAAACATTTAAATTCCGCTATGTTACGGTTAAACATAAATAGTGTCACTTGTTATTGTAAATATAACATTCTGTAACACATTTGTTATTGTTATTTAATAATAAGTTATGTGTCATTCATGATTTCAAAGTTCAGAAAGCACTACTAAAGTTAAAATGATATTACATGTTTGATTTTAAGTTGCCCTGCAAAGTAATAGTAACAAGAAATGTGTTACTAGACCTTCGCATGATACAAAGCAGGGTCAAGGCTTTGAAAGTTATTTTAATTATTTCACTGTAGCACTTATTTATTTTAATTATCTGTAAAAATGTTATAAAGAGGGAATATTTGTATTTTTGTATGTATTGGATTAACTCAAAAACTAGTGGGCCAATTTCAGAAAGTCTTTCACCATTACAAAGATATGTTATCTGTGAGTAGCATAGGCTATGTTTTTTATTATTTTTTAATTGCATGTGGTCAAAGTCATGAGCAACAGCTAGTGAATATAGTGGCAACTTCAAAATATGGTCAATTAAAAATATGTAGAAAGGGGTATGGATAAAAAATCAAGGAGGATTTTTCAGAAAATATAGCCATTTAATGTATTCGAGTTCAGAATATTTTGTATCCGACTGCATATAATAAGTGATGTGATGTCAGGATGGGGGAGGGCGGGGGCTCGCCGGGCGGCGGCGCGCGGCTCTCGCACACATCCGAGAAGCACCCGCGCGCCATCCTCGGCGAGCTGTCGGCGCTGCGCCGCCACCGCGAGCTCTGTGATGTTGTCCTCAATGTTGCCAACAGAAAGCTCTTTGCACACAGGTTTGCTATACACATATACTCGTAGCTATATATCGTTTTTGGTGAACCTTTTTATTTTTAATTTTTGACTGTACTTCACTTTGTCATCTTCAGAATTAAATGTTAGTTAATCATTGAAAATGTACTAAACATGTGTTTCAAATGTCTTGATTTTCAATGTGGAAATGAACTACATTATGCCAATAGTAGGCAAGATCACCCATAGCTAAGTAGAGTAGATAGTACTGTTTGTTCCTAGTGTAATATTACGAAACTGCTAGTACAAGGTTTATGTTATTATTATAAATATTTAAAATGTATGCCTTCATTCAAATTATATAACTGAGGTCATGTTTCAAAATTCGGCAGGAGAGTTAAAGAGTTTAATGAGTAAATGATTGATTGCTTAGTTGAGTTAATTATTGTTGTATACACTTTACATCTGCAAACGTGTTGGCCACACAGCTGAGTTGACCTTCATCATGAACCGCTACTAAATACTGCGACTTCGTCCACCAGACTCATAGAATCATAACATTAGTTATGCGAGGAAGAACATTGACTAAATACTGTTTTTATCCTCTTGGTCTTGAGAATGTTGACCATCCTAATGTTGTAAGGGTAAGGGTGAGGTGAGTGAGGGCTTAGCCAGGGGATGTGACGGCCGGGATGGCCCGGCGGCGAGGTGGCAGCGAGTGTACGGAGGGTGCGCGCAGGGTGATCCTGTCGGCGTGCAGCCCGTACTTCCGCGCGATGTTCACGGGCGAGCTGGCGGAGTCGCGCGCCACCGAGGTGACCATCCGCGACGTGGACGAGCAGGCGATGGAGCAGCTGGTG